GCGAAGACCATGGCCTGTATCAGACGCACCTTAGTCTCCAGAGAGACACCACTGCTCTTCAGCACTTTGGAGAGGTCCCTAACAGCAGACGTTTAGTCCCTACTAATGATCATAATCAAAAGGTTCTGGCGGTGCCATGGTTAAGGGCTGGGCTTCTAACCTAGAGGTCAAAGGGCAAGAGGTTTGCAACTCTGTGGAAAAAAGGTAAGTTCATAGTTACTTTGTCATACAGGGTTGAAATGGACTAGTGCGTATTAACAATATTACTAATTTATTTAAGGTAAATATTACAGCAATTTGAAGAATCAGAATCAACTCAATGGCACCTAATAATATTAATGTGTCCAGTTTAACTAATATAAATAGACATATACATAACACACACACACACAACCATCAAGTCAATCCTGTCTCATGATGAACCTGTACCTGGTTTCTGGGCTGTAAATCTTCTTTTGTGTGTTTTAGAGACTATAAATCTTTATAGGAAGAAACTGCCTTTCTCAGAGATGGGTGAGAATTGCTCACTCACCTTTGAGTTAACAACTCGCAATGTACTATGTCTTTCCATAACCAGGGCTCCTGAAAATCATACAGCTATCAGAAAAGATATTAATTATTTACGAGAAAAAGAATGTCATCAACAAACCAGCACTTGCCATCTCTTTCACTGCTATGCCATTATGTAATGAGACAGTATATAAACAAGACAGAACGCTTATGTACTAAAGAATAAAAATATTATTCTCCTCCTAGGGGAAGGAAAAAATGGTGTGTGTGTGTCCCCTACCTGCTCCTGGGCAGGGGGCAGATGGGAAAGGGTAGGATGGACTTCTATGAGCTTGACTGAGCTATTAACTTACATAAATATCTAATGCAAAAGAGGGTCACAATTTACAATTTCACTAAGAATGAAATAAACAATTTTATTTAGTTCTTCAAAGCCTTGCTTGGGCAAACAGGCTAAGAATAAGAATAAAAATGAAACCTAGAAACAGACTACTGTCAATTCATTTATTAAAAGTTATTGCTATGAGAATTCGGAATGGTCTTTTCCATAAATGGTGTTAAGTCTTTTTTTCCATATTTAAAAATAGAGAAAGCAGCAAAATGCAAGGATAAGTACAGGTAACAAAAAACAGATGTCTAGACTAAGTGGTAATAGAAGAGAAAGTAATTTCTATACTTTTAAGTAGAGAAAAATACCTTTATTAGGGCACTACCTATAAATGAGAACCTCTCAAGTACATGGTACCTGGCTACTGCTGTTAATAATTTTGGTCAGGCCCTCAACAGATGCATGCTGTCAGAATGAAAGAAAAATGTACAAAGAACTCAATCCAGACTTACTGACTAGAGATTATTATTATCAGATAAGTTATTATGTGCTGTTGAGTTGCCTGCAACCCAAAGCGACCCTATGTACAGCAGCTCTGAAGCCTACCCTTTCCTGAGCCAGTCTCACTGATTCCGACACACCAACACCCATTGCCCCTATCACTGTATCAACCCATCTCATCCGGGGTCTTCCATTCTTGCACTGTCCCTCCACCCTTCTGAGCATGATGTCCTTCTCTAAGGATTGGTCTCTCTTGACTCTATGCCCAAAGTATGCAAGATGGAGCTTCAAGATCCTAGCCTCCAAGGAGAAACTTGGTTTCACTCTCTCCAACATATTTGTTTTCTTGGCAGTCCATGATCTATGTTCAGCTTCTCCAGCACCACAACTTTAAAGCATCTATTCTTCTTCTGTCATTCTTAGTCATTGTCCAGCTCTCTGAGGCATAGCAAGTAACTGTGAAGACCATGGCCTGGATTAGGCGCATTTTAGTCTCTAGACTGACATCATTGCTTCTAAGCACTCTGGAGAGGTTCTTGACAGATTTCCCCAATATGCAATTCATCTTTTGATTTCCTGACTGCTGGTGCCAAGAGTGTTGATTATGGAGATGAGCAAGTTCTAATTGATAACAACTTTAATCTCTTCTCCACCTATCATGGTGCTGCCAAATTAGCTAAGTGCTGAGGATCTTTGTCTTCTTGATGTAGTCTTTGACCTTCTGCAGCAAGCGCTTCAGGTCCTCCTCAGTTTCAGCAAGCAAGTTTGTGTCATCTGCATAATGTAGGTTGTTGATGAGTCTTCCTCAAATCCTGATGCCACATTCCTCCTCATAAAGCCCAGATTCCTGAATGATCTGTTCTGCACATAGATTGAAAAAGGAGACAGGATGCATCCCTGACACACTCCTTTCCCGAGTTTGAATCATACAGTGCTTCCTTCCTCTGTTACGTGGGACTGCTCCTGATCCACATAGAGATTTCCCATAAGCACAATCAAGTCTTGTGGGATTCCCATTCTCCTCAAGGTTAGCCATAATCTGTTGTTATCCACACAGTCAAATGCTTCTGCATAGTCAATGAAATGACTGGAACAGTACAACAACTCTCCCCCCCACAGTGGAGCATCTGGTGGATTTGAACTGCAAACTATGCCAAGAAGTCTGGAAGACAACTAACCTGACCAACTTACTGGAAAAGAATACCCATTCCAACAAAAAACAACCCCATGGAATAGAGAAATTACCAAACAACATCATTAATATCATATGAAGATAAGATCATACTGAAGATTATTAAATATGCCTGGAGCAATACACTGACAGGAAATGAAAAAAAAAATTTATGACAGATGCAGAAGAGGTCATGGTAAGAGGGGTATCACGGTTGACGTCAGGAGGCTGTAAACTCTATGTGAGAAGACTGTCCATCATTCTTCCCCAGAGCAGCTGGTAAGATTCTAAACATATACCTCTTGATTGGCAGTGCAAGTCTCTACCCACTAGCTACCAGGTCTCCCTTTGGACTATACCACCAGTTTCTATGTATGTTTGCCTGTTTCTGTTATTTTATAAAAATGAAAACATACCACGTCTTTTTGCAATTCACTTATTTCATTCAATGTGCTCCAGGTTCATCCATGATCTGGGAAATAATTTTATTACTGAGTAATATTCTACTGTATGTATGTACCATATTTTACTTACCCATATTCACCCAAATACAAAACTTTTTTGTTCCCACCTTTTAGTGACTCTGAACAGAGCTGCAATGGACAAGGGCGTGCTTATGTCTGGATGTGTTACTGCTATTAGATCACAGGAAGTGGACTAGCTCCTCTTGGTCATATGGCACCTCTAGGAACACTAATTGTGTAATGGATTAGGCCGTGGGCTAATTGTAGGCTGGCAATCCAAATCCACTAGCTGTTTCACAGGAGAAAATGAGGTAGGTGGTCTACTTCTGTACAATTTACCGTCTTGGAAACTCTACGGATGCAGTTCTACTGTTCTATGAGGTCATTATGAGTCAGAATCAACCTCTTCCCAGATGGTACCACACATGTATCCCTGTTTTTTCTGAGGAATGGTCAGAATAATTTCCACAATGGTTGTTCCATTTTGCATTCTCACAAGAAACTGATAAGGGTTCCAATTTCACCACATCCACTCCGATACATTATTCTCTGTACTATTTTTTCTAAAACACAGGCATGTTCGTGGGAGTGAATGCTATCTCACTGTGATGCTATATATCTTTGTAGGTGCCAGATAGCCAACAGAGTTATTCTCTTTGATAAAATGTCTCTTCATGCCCTTTGCCTAGTTTGACTGGAAGTTTGCTGCTTTCTTAAGCAGATCGCCTCCTATCTTTATTGTGGACACAAATCAGCTTTAATTTCACAAAATGGGTGATCAATATTTTTGTTAAATAAGATAGCACATCAAAAGCAGCATATATATTGCTTTAATTTTCAACCTTGTCCATCATTTTGAATTTATTCTAAATTAGGACATCATTTAGAGATTATTACTATTTTCTCCTATCACACTAATATCTTTTATTAGTTTTTAGACAAAGTTCATAAAAGAAATCAAAGGGCACTTATGTTTACTCCTCATTAATATATACCTGAATCATCAGCTAGTCTGCTAATTCTTTCCAAAACAGCAATACAATCTCTTTCATCGTCACTGACTTCCCTCAATGTATCCAGCAAACTCCGGGCCACCATTTGTCTACATAAAAGGAGAAAATGAAAAAAAGAGAAAAAAAAAGAGAGAAAATGATACAATGCTCAGTAGTAGCAAAAAGTAACATTCAGAACTTTAAAAATTAATTATTCACTAAATTAAGTACATAATTTCTTAAGTGGTGAACGCTAGTATTTAGTTTAAAAAGAAGAGATTGAATATTTAAAAAAAAATTTGTGGAGGGGAGGTTGGGCAGGGAGAAAGTGCAAGAATGAATGAATGGAAATCCAAAGTCTCTGTAAATGTTCATTAAAATTAACAAAAAAAATTGTATTATCTAGCTGACTAAGCTAATTTCAAATATCAATGTAAATTCATTTGACATAATTATAAGAAAGATTACTTGTTTTTTATTTTTACTAATATGAGTTGTATACACCTTTACACAAATATTTTGAGCAAAGACTTATTTCTCAGTAAGGTCTGATGCTGGAGGCTGAGGAACAAAAATGGAGAACTAGTGTATTAGGAAGAACAGTTAGCTAGGAACTGTTGTGATCTAAGTTCCTGGCTATTACCTGCTACATACACAAAAGGATGAAAGAATAAATGACTAAGAACCAAATAACACAAATATAAATACAGAGTATGGTAAACTGCATGATAAGATAAATGAACTGTTTGTTCATTTTCCACGAAAAATCAAAAGAAACAGCTATATGTTTATTAGATCTAAGAGTAAAAAAGTCATATGAAGAAGCCAATAACCAACCATAGGCTAATCTGTTATTATTAATAAAATTTGGAGATCTCAAATTGCACATATTACCTATTTAAACGTGAAAATTTTTTCTATATTGAAATTAATAATAAAAATTGTAATTCCACTTCCCTTAAATGAAAAGAATATGTACATACCTATTAAATATGTTCTCACTTGCAGCATACTTGTCCAATCTTCCTAGCGGAGTCAACATTTCATCTTGTGAGACAAAGTCCAGGGCTGAAGGTATAATAATCACATCAGACTCTGAGCTGTAGTCATCCACACCAACTATCAGAGACATCAGAAATACTCCTTATAAGACTTTGAAACTAAAACATACACCCCTCCTAGCTGAAGCAGAGTAAGTATAATTGCCCCTAATGTTTCTGAAGACCAAGAGTCATGAGAGGATAAACCCAAAAGTCATGTGCAACTGAAGACTGCTCCCTCTTTTTCCACAGATATTCCCTTGTTGCCCCCAGAAACACAACAGTGAGAGGATGCTTAATGTTCTGAGAACTTATACTCTAAAGAAAAAACTTGGGAATAAAGTACAACAGTGACATAGTTAACTCTGCAATGAAGAGAAAGCTAATCTGAAATGATTAAAAATGACAAAGTGAAAACTGCTGTTAGGTTTTGCCATTAACACTACATAGAGATAACTTACTTTAAACAGAACAAATACTTATTTAGTACATTATGTGGCAAGTACTAGACGGGATACTGAAAAATAAGCAAAAAACCCACTATGACAAAAAACAAAACAAAACAAAAAACAACAAACCACTATGATCACTGTTTTCAAAGAACAAAAAACCCCCTAATATATATAAAAATTATCACTATAAAGGAAGGTATATAAAAACTGCAATGCCAGGAATCTATTAAAGCTACTAGAACACAAAGACAAGGCCAAGAAAGAGTCGCTGAAAATGAAATAGAAGGTAATGGTTTCAAAGCAATTAACAAGCAAGAGCTTGAAGGTACACTCAAATAGCATCTGCTGCCAAAGGGATCCTGGAAGAAAGGGACAAGGTGCCCCAAATTTGGTACTTCAGTGTCATATTGAAGTACCTTGTCCACCTATCAAGGAGTAATGAAAAATATAAGAGAATTGAAAACAGTGAATGCAAAATATGCTCACCAGAACGGTGGCTGTGAAATAAAGAATTAGATTAAAAAATTAACTAGGGTTATAAGGCAAAAGGGGTTTTTGTTTTGTTTCTCATGTCCAAAAGAAAAGATTCAAAAATATGTTTATATACTGGCAATAAATAGTCAACAAATAAATAACAAACTGAATCTCTAGGAAGAAGATAATACAATTTACAGAAATATTAAGTTAGAAAGATGGGATCCCAGAAGAATCATTCCCATTAGCCTCAAAAGAAGCCCAAGGTCAATTCCTATCAAGACAGATATGGCCCCATGCTTTAAACCTTTTTACCAACACTGGACGCCTATCATCCCTCCCATGCATGGTACATAGCATTTGGTTTAGTAATTGGCTGTTATGGCCACACACAACTCGCAGTTTTGAGGGTTACCAAGGAAGTGTTGCTGTTGTTAGGTGTCATCCAGTTGCATAAGACCTATAGTGACCCTACGAACCCTGTCTTATCCAGTGCCATTCTCATACTTCCTGACACACCACAGCCCATTGCAACTGTCACTGTGTCAATCTACCTGGTCGAGGGTCTATCCCTCCTTTGTTAACCCTTTGTCTTTCAAAGCATGATGCCCTTCTCCAATGTACAAACTCTCCTAGCAATGATCAAATTACGTGAGGCAAAGCTTTATCATCTTTGCCTCCAAGGAAGAGTCTGGATGCACTTCTCTCCAAGATAGATGTTTATTCTTTTGCCGGTGTTCTTTTGTTCAGTGTTCTCCAACACTATAGCTCAAAGGCTTACTTCTTCAGTCATCCTTATTGTCTAGCTCTCAGGTGTACAGCATGATTGAAAATACCACAGCCTGAATCAGGTGCACTTTAGCCTTAAACTGACATCACTGTTCCACAATAATTTGGAGAGGTCAAGACATGCCCAGTGCAATACATGTCCTGATTTCCTGACTGCTGGTACCAAAGGTATTGATTGTGGATTCAAGTAAGATGAAGCTGCTGAGTTTCGATGTTTTCTCCATCTATCATGATGTTGCCTATTGGTCCAGTGGTAAAAATTTTTGTTTTCTTGATGTTAAAATGCAATCCGTACTGAAGGCTATATTCTTTGATCTTCTGCAACAAGTGCTTCAAGTCCTCACTTTCAGCAAGCAAAGCACTGTCATCTGTACAACACAGATCATTGATGATTCTTACAATTGTTGGTGTGTATCATCGAGTTGAAACCGACCTATAGCTGACTCTATGGGAGGGTTTTTAGAGGCAGTTAATCACACTAGAGGACACTGCCCATCCTTTTCCTGTGGAGCTCCTCTGACTAGTAGGTTATAATTCAGGATCAGTAACAACTCAAGATACAGTTCTTCAATCAGGACAGCCTTGCTCATTAGCCATGACTAAAGGTAGGCCTGGTCTGTCTCTGGCATTTGGCCTTGCAGCCTTGACCTCTGCCCTGCTAGGGTAAAAGTGTTACAAAACTCTTTTGGCTCTGCTATTTTAAATGCCCTCAAAAGCACTTCACTCTGATAAGTCCAGACAGGAAGGCACTCAGCTCTAGCTTACTGAGCTGACAAACCCAGTTCTCCTCGTACATGCCTGGTGATCCTAGCTCTCCATTAGTAAACCTCCCGCTCAAAGGCTCTTCTAGGACCCTGCACCCATCTCCTTGTTCTGCCCCTTCCACTGTTGCTGTCTCTCCACCACTGCTTCTTGTTTCATATCCCTAGTGTTACAGATCTGTTATCTACTGAAGAGAAGAAGTTTGGGGCAAGGATCTTGTGTCCAGAGGACAGGCTTTCTACTCCTGGATCTTCTTTTTTTATGGGAGTCTTCCTTTTCCATCTCTGGATGGCTCACAGTAAGGCTTATGGGATAGCAAAACTGACCACTGTGTGCTAAACAAATTATGTGATGTTACAGTCACTGCTTCAACCTGTAGCATCGTGGGTATTTTTCTCTTTCACTGACCCTCATTTCCTGATGCTCCTTTCCATTCCTAATCCCTCCTGAAAAATGTGACCAAAGTATGTGAGACAAGTCTCATCATCCTTACTTGTAAAGAGCATTCTGGTTTAATTCTTCCAGTGCAGACTTACTTGTAAAAAAAATCCTCCTCGTCAACATCACAACTCCAAGACATCAATTCTACATTCTTCCTTATCCAACTTTCATATGCACATGAATAGAAAAATAGCACAGTCTGGGTCTGGCACACTTTAGTTTTTAAACTGGCATCTTTGTACTTTAGCACATTAGGGAGATCCTTCACATTAGGACCAAATGCAGTGTGCTATTTGATTTCTTGACTGCTGGATTGAAGTAAATCAATGCCAACTATGGACCCAAGTAAAGTGAAATCTGAAAGCTTCAACCTTTTCTCCATTTATCATGATGCTGCTTACTGGTTCAGTTGTTGTTGTTAGGTGCCACTGAGTTGAGTATGACTCATAGCGACCCTATGAACAAAAGATCTGAGTCCAGTGCTGTCCTGTACCATCTTCACACTTCCTGACACACAAGAGCCCACTGCAGCAGACATCGTGTCAATCCACCTGGCTGTGGGTCTTCCTCTCCTTTGCCAACCCTCCAGCTTCCCAACATCCTGTCCTTCTCCTAACAACATGTCTAAAATATGTAAAGTGAAGCCTCATAATTCTTGCCTCCAAAGACCACTCTTGACTGCACCATCTCCAAGACATATCTGTTCTCTTGGCTACCCATTGGATGTTAAGTGCTCTTCTCCAACACCACAGCTCAAAGGTGTCAATTCTTTTTGTCCTCCTTATTCATTGTCCAGGTCTCGGATGCATAACTAGTAATTGGAAAGACTCAATCAGACACACTTTAGTCCTCAAACTGACATCACTACTCCTCAATAATTTGGAAAGGTCTAACTGCAGATTTTCCCAGTGCAATGTGTTTCCTTATTTCCTGACTGCTGATATCAAAGGTGTTAACTGTGGATCTAAGTAAGATAAAGCTGTTGACAGTTTAAATTTTCTCTCATCCATCATGGCACTGCCTACTGCTCCAGTGGTAAGAAATCTTTATTTTCTTGATATTGAGATGCAGTCCATACTGAAGGTTGCATTCCTTGATCTTCTGCAACAAGTGCTTCAAATTCTCCTCACTTTCAGCAAAGTAAGGCTGTGTCATCTGAATAATGCAGGTTATTTATGAGTCTCCCTCTAATCCTGATGCCACATTCCTCTTCATAAAGTCCAGCTTCTCAAATAATTTGCTCAGCTCTGGTGGCCTAGTGGCAAGAACCTGTGCTGCAATCCCAAAAGCACGTGGTTTGAGGCCACCAGCTGCTCTGTGGGAGGAGGATGGGCTATCTCCTCCCATTCAATCAACTACCTCTGAAAACCCCTGGAGGGTCAGATATGGGTTAGTTCCGACTCTGGTACACAACAGCAACATACACAGATTGAACAGGTATGGAAACAGAATACAACGCTGATACATTCCCCTCCCAATTCCAAGCTATGCAGTGCTCCCCTGCTCTGTTCACACAACAGCCTCTTGATCCAGGTATAGGTTCTGCATGAGCACAAATAAGTGCTCAAGAAATCCCATTCTTCTCAATGTCAGCCACAACTTGTCATGATTCACACAGTCAGATGCCTTTGCACAGTTAATAAAGTACACACAGACATTCTTCTGGCATTCCTTACTTTCAGCCAGGATCCATCTGGCATCAGCAATGATATTCCTAGTGCCACAGCCTCTTCTAAATCCCACCTAAAGTTCTGGCAATTGCCTATCCATGTACTGTTTCAGCTGTTTTTGAATGATCTTCAGCAGTATTTTGCTAGCATGTGGTACCAATTATATTGTTCAATAATTTCCACATTCAGATGGATCATCCTTCTTGAGAATGGGAACAAATACAGACCTTTTCCAATCCATTGGCCAGATAGCCATCCTCAAAATTTCCTGGCATACATTGGTGAGTGCATCCAAGGCTGCATAACTGACACAAGTCAGTTGGTATCCCCTTGATTCCTGGGGCCTTATTTTTTGCCAATGCCTTCAATGCAGATACTTTCATTACCATTGGGTCCTGTTCATATGGTATTTCTTGAAATTTTTTAGCGTCAATCAATTCTTTCTGGTACAGTGACTCTGTGTATTCCTACTCCCTCCAACTTCTTTTGACCCTTTCCGGATCA